TAGCTCATCTAACTTCTCAATAATCCTTAAAGAAGACCTCATCCCCATTTTATAGATGAGGAAACTAAGGCACAAAGATCAAGATCTTTGCCTGAGACCACATAGCAAGTGGGAGACAATGCAGGTCCACTGATATCCCATTGAGAATAGAGATTTCAATCCCTAGCATAAGGAACTGAGTCCTTTAAGAAAAACAGACCTTGCCCCATTTTTCTTTTTTTTCTCTTCTCACAAGCCTAAATCTATGAAATTGGAACAATACAGCAAATGGCTGAGGGCTATGGTCACAGCCCAGAGACCCTTATGGAAGATTTGGTCTTGGCCCAAATTTTTAAAAGAGCCAAATGGATCAGCAAAACACAAATGCAAATGCTGGGCCCATGCTGACAGGGAGTCTTGTGAAATATTTCCACAGGAAGCTAAGGCAGGCAATTAACTTGCTATAACAATGCATGTGTTCAAATAAAAAAAAAAAACCCTCAGAGAGAGAGAGCCTGTACCCCACCTCCCGTCCCTATTTCAAATGAATCCATAAATCTGGCTGAGCCTTCATCTGGCTACTGACCCCTAATAATAGGGCACACACTCACACTTCCATTGGCATTCTGACCACTGTGGGGGGGGCTTCTGACAATCGTTGGGACATCTGAGAAAGCCACCCAGAGCTCCTGATCCCAGTTGGGGTAGGGGCTTAGGTGTCATCATTCCCACTTTGTAGATAGGCAAACAGAGGAAAGCAGGTGGAAAGGACTTAAATGTATAATCCCAGACAAAGCACGTGGCAGAGACAGGAGCAGAGCCTGCTCCCCAGTTCTGGGCCCTTCTCTAGGGACCAGAGTTTCTCCAGCTGTCGGCATGCCAATCAAGCCCTCGGCACTAACCATCCACGGGCAGAGTGATCTGAGCAGCAGAGTCCTGGCCAGCAAGTCAGGAGATCTGAGTGCAAGTCTTGGCTGGTCGGGGGCTGCTAAAGACTTTAACCTCCTTTCTTTACCTGAAAGCTTCTGAATCACACCTAAGTGCCTGGTGCAGGCAGCAGTGCCGGCCCTGAAGGGCAAGGCAGTGTGGGTAGAATGGTCCAGCTGACTTCTACTCGGTCAGCTCTCTAACACTCAAACGCAGTGCAGAAACCTTTACAGATTGGTGTGTTGCTGTTACCACACCAAGAAGTCTTCTCTAACTTCCCCTCCCACCGAAACTGAAGACTAACCACTCCCAACCTTCTATCTTCTATCCTTCTGGAATTCTTGAAGCGTTTCAATGACTTTCATGCATAGGGGTCTTAAACTATGGCCTGTCGATCAAATCCAGCCCACCAGCAATTTCTTTGTCTTAGGAGCTAAGAATGGTTTTTACATTTTTAAATGGCTGAAAAAAAAAAAATCAAGGAAGAATACTATTTCACAAAAAAGTAGATGAAACTGAACTTTTCGTGTCCATAAATAAAGTTTTTTAGAACATAGCCACACCCACTCATTTATGTTGTTTACGTTATTACGTTGTTACAGTGTAGCTATTTTTGTATGGCAGAATTGAACAGTGACATAGACTGTATGACCCACAAAGCCTAAAATTTATGGCACTTTATAGAAAAAATTTAGGTTTTTTTTTTTTTTGAAACCAACCCCTGGTTTACTGCAAAAAGCAGGCTACAGAATCACCCTACTTGCATAATCACTCTATATACTTGAATTAAGGAAGAAAATACACTAAAATAGGTTTTGTTTTTTTTTCCTGGGTGCTCGGGTTACATGCAATTATCTGAAATTTTTCACCGAACATGTGAAACATTAAAGTATAAAAAATAATGTTAACAAAATTAGGAATATAAAATAGTAAATATTTGTCCTATCTTACTGTGGGCCAGACACTTTTGGTTGCTGACATGCTTCATTTCACCTAGTCTCCTTTCTACCCTATGCATAGGTATCTCTGCTCCACAGATGAGAAAGGAAGGCTCAGGCACTTTAATAACTTGTCTTAGGTCATTCTACTAGTTAGAAGCATTTTGTTTATTTACGGTAGAAACACACAGAGGGAGGAAAAGGGAACAGGTTAAAAACAGAAACTGGTTTAGGAAGAATGTTTTGTTTGAATTTATAGGAGACCATTCCTAATAGATAATGAGAAACTTAGAGATGCTTAGGGGGTCCTCATATCTGGCCTACCTCAAGGAAGAGATATAATATATTTAGAAGTACCTGAAAAATGGCAGAGCACTGTACTAGTGAAGGCTGTATATTCAGAAATTTGTCAAGGCACGACCTGCTGATTTCCAAAGATTTCCCATCGAATCTTTCTTGAATTAGAAATAGCATAAATGTCAAGAAGAGAGGATTTGGTTGACTAAACTATGGGGTTTCCACACAATGGAATACTCTGCAGGAATTAAGGAACCAGGCGATAATCATATTGTTGCTTCTAGTGTTGGCATTGTCATTTGGAGACTGCTCTTTGGTAAAGCAGGATAAAGCTAAAGAGCAATTATGTCAAGTACTGACGCTATCGTCCATGGCATCCTTAAGAAGCAGGACTCTTGGCATAGGGAAAGGAGGCACAAGTATAAGAAAGAAAAGATTAAATAAAATCCCTTGCAGTTTTCAATTTGAATAGAAAGTATCAGTATGAATTCATGATGGATTTTTATCACAAACAACAACCACCTATTTCCTAGCTCTGGCCACTGAGAAGGCCTAGAACTGATGACCAGCCCAGAAATAATGAGCATCCCTGAGCGCACAGAAAATGGTCTCTAAAAATCATTTTTCTCTAAGAAAAACCAGGAATTCTTGGAAAAATGGCTGATTCTAGGTCTGGAGCAGGACCTGGAACATCTTTGCTGGACAAAGGGATGATTCACGTCCTGAATGAGACAGAGCAGGAAGGCTTGCGACTTCATCATGCTACTCAGAACAGAGCACAACTGAAAACTTATGTTTTATTTCTGCGTTTTCCCATTTGATATTTTGGTCCATGGTTGACCGTGAGTAACTGAAACCATGGAAAGTGAAACCACAGATAAAGCGGGGGACAGCTGTATGCAGTTACTATTTGGGGAGCACCTCTATATTCCAGGCCCTGTGCTATGTGATAAAATACTATAAAGTATGACAAAAGCCCCTGCTCTCAAAAAGATTGCAGGCTAGTGAGGGAGAATGACAAGGAAACAGGCAATTTTACCAATGGACGAAGTGCCTCAAAAAAGTGAGCTCTAGGGATTAAGGAAGCGCGCGGAAGGGACGCCTAACCCTGTACAACACGGTTAGGGCACAGATGCTGGTGAGGCCGGTGAAAGAAACAGAGGCCACTAAGCCGCGTAAACTGCAAACTTTATCTTGAGAGATAAGAGGTGCCATTTCTAAAGATAAGCATCAAGTCAGTGTCTTACTTCATGTTCCCTAACTTCTTTTTCCTCCCACCATCCTACACTAGGTGACAGGACTTACGGTTTTGCTCGGTTCTCTTCATTTCTCTCCCCTGTGGGGTCCTATAAAGAAATTGAATAGTTTGCCCTCCTACAGACACTATAGCAGTCCCCCCTTACCTGAGGTTTCATTTTCTGCAGTTTTGGTTACCCTTGGTCAACCATAGTCCAAAATATTAAATGGGAAATTCCAGAAATAAACAATTCATGGGTGTTTAATTATGCACAGTTCTGAGCAGTGTGATGAAATCTTGCTCCATCTCACTCCAAACCATGCGGGACGTGAATTATCCCTTTGTCCAGCGTATCCCGCTATAGACACTCCCTGCCCATTATTCACTTAGTAGGCGTCTCAGTTATCACTTTGATTGTCGTGGTATCGCAGTGCTTGTGTTCAAGTGACCCATATTCTACTTAATAATGGCTCCGAAGTGCAAGAATAGTGATGCTGGCAATTTGGATATGCCAAAGAGGAGCCAGAAAGTGCTTTCTTTAAGGGAAAAAGTGAAAGTTCTCAACTTAAAAGGCGAGAAAAAAAGTTGTTATGTTGAGATTGCTAAGAGCTACGGTAAGAATGAATCTTCTATCGTGGAATTGTGAAGAAGGAAGAAGAAATTTGTGCTAGTTTTTCTGTCGCATCTCAAGCTGCAAAAGTTACAGCCACAGTGTGCAATAGGTGCTTAGTTAAGATGGAAAAGATGTTAAATTTGTGGGTGAAAGACATGAACAGAAAACGTGTTCCAACTGATGGCAACGTGTTGAGCCTATAGGAAGACATCAGTAAGGGATTCCCTGAAATGAGTGATACCAAGCCATTTATTGTAAGAGATGGTGGAACAGATTCAGGAATAGATTTGACTGAAAATTATAAAAATTACCGGAGAAAGAGAGAGAGCGAGCGAGCATGTGGGCACATATTCACATAACTTTCATTATAGTATATTGCGATAATTGTTCATAATTGTTCTATTTTATTAATAGTTATTGTTGTTAATCTCTTACTGTGTCCAATTTATAAATTGAACTTCATCGTAGGTATGTATGTATAGGAAAAAATACAGCATATATAGAGCTTGTTACTATCTATGGTTTCAGGCATCCACTGGGGTCTTGGAACATATTCCCTGCAGACATGGGAGGACTAATGTATTTGGAAATCACTGAGGATGCAGTGTAGGGTGCTGGTTATAAGTGTGGGCTTCACGGTTCAATGTGGGCTTGACCTATGGCCCTACCAGCTCACTAAACCCACTCAGCTGATGTTGTCTTATGGTTTCCAGATTCTACTACTAACTTATTACGGAACTTCAGATGTAGTAAAACATTGAGATTTTCCTGGAGAAGATAAAACATATAACTGTAAATTTCTATTTCTATGTAAAAATGTAACTAGGAAAACAATCCTCCTGGAATTTCATTGCACACCTACTTGGAATGGTTTCCATGGTCGGCCATATGCATAATAAAACCTGAAATTCTAACTATACACAATACCTTGGACTCGTGTTGTAGGGTGGAGTGGTGGAGTGGACAAGTGAACACCTTTCAACAGAACCATTCGAGTAGTTGAGCAAACCTGGGCATCTTCGAATGTGTATCTCCCTCCATCTTTGACGTTTTGACTGGTTATCTCGTAGCTATGAGAGTCCAAATTGATTGCACTTGGGGCCCCTGGAGCCAGAAACTCTTGCCAGATTTCTTCCACCCGCTTGGCCACATCCTGTAGGGGTTGTTTCTTGAGATCTTGGACAGCCAACCAGAACCTGAAGTGGAAGTAGAAAGAGAGTCAGTTCCAGGGGGCTTAGTTAGCATCTGGTCTCTGCTGGACGTGGTCCTAGAACTGACATCCCATGAAACTCATTCTGCTGCATCCCCCAACGTTCCCTGCTGCCACTACCAGGCAACAAAGATCGTGGGGACTGATGAAAACACCATGGTGGAGAACTGAAAAGAAGTGTTCGTTCGAAGGTCATTGTGCTTCTGGTTACCAAGAACAGCTCTGTCTCTCACCACATCGAGGTTTCTCAATCACCTTTTGGGCTGGATACTTCTTCGTTGTGGGCCCTGCCTTGTACATTGCAGGATGTTTAGCAGCAACCGTGGCCTCTACCCACCAGATACCAGTGGCCACCTCTCCCCAAGTTGTGACAACCAAAAATGTTCCCAGACGTTACCAAATGTCCCCTGGGAGGTAAAATCACCCTTGGTTGAGAACCACTGTTCTTCATAGATGTCATGACACAGGCCAAGGGGAGTTTCTTTGTCATATCTGATTAGGATCAGTTAGAGGCATCAAAATTGGGATCAGAGGCATCATAGAAGCAGATAGAATCTTGGAATCATAAAGAATATTTGAGCTGGAAAGACCTGGCTATTCATATTACAGATCGGAAAACTGGTTGATTTGCAACATCAGTGCCTAGCATGATGCTAGCACATAGCAGGTGCTCCATAAATGACTGTGAACTGAAACAAAGCTAAAGGGGCATGCATGGGGAACCTCTGCCGTAAGATTCCCCAGGGAGCACTGGAAAGAAAAACCTCCTGCTCACTTCCATGTTTGCCTCTCACGAATCCCTCAGTGTCAGCATGGCAGGGCCATTGGGAAAGCTGGGTGTGAGCACTTTTCTGCTGAGAGCAGCAGCAACCAGAGCCAAAGCTTGGTCAATAGCTCCCTAGGTCCCGAGGATGGTTTCCAAGGCAGCCCTGGGGAGGGCTTTCTGCAAGGCCAGGTATGGGTGGCACACTTTGTGCCCTGTGAACAAGACAGGCCAGTTTCCTCATCCATGAGACAGGACAGGCTCCTGGCTAAGTGATTCCCACAGCCATGGGAAACCCATGTATAGTCGAGTCAACAAAAGGGCAGGAGAAGCTGAAAAAACCAACATGGTGGAAAGTGCATTCAATCTGTCATCGAATTTCACCCAAAGTAAGATGTACTTGTTGTTTTTTAAAAGGTTAAGAATGTTTTTCTGTTGCTGTTCGTAGAAATGCCTTTGGAGCCAAGTGTGTGGCCCAAAGGCACCGCTCAGTGGCGAACTGCGGTAATGCAGCTCCCTTTCCGCAAGGAGAGAAGCCTGGCGTGTGCGTCTGCGCGCGGAACTATTACTTTTCTCCTGATGTGCCATTTGGGATTCTAATAATCGCCTTAAATAAACCATCACGGTTGCCTTGGTGACCCCGAAGAGCACAAGTGAGAGGCAGGGAAGCAGACTGAATGACTTCACCTAACCGAAAAATCAGGAAGCACAGTTCTGTCCTCCTCCTGGCCCCGCCACCGTCTTGGAATTGTTGTACCTTTTTGGGCGTCTCTTTCCTCATCTGTAAGGTGGGTACGAAGTGAGTGGAGGGATATGTGACACGGATCTAAAGAACTCCCCACCTGGTGTGAGTCTGAAATGCTTTCAGGTCCTGTGGAGCTGTGGAGCTGTGGAGGGGTCAGCGTGCTGGTCACAAGTTCCATACCCGGACAGTATGAGCCCTTGAAGTTTCTCTCTTTCTTCTCGGGTGGCCTGGGCAAAAGCTGCCTGGGGCTCTTGCCATTGTCATCTGTCGTCGTCTGACCTTCAACACCAGCTCTCTTTCTTTCTGTTGCAGGTGTTTGGAGCTCATGTCCTCTGGCTGCCCCAGGAGAGGAAACTGGCATGGCTCTCTAACCAGAGTCCAGAGGGGTGGAGATTGATGGAGCTGTACACCTGCTCAGTTGTGCAGGTGGGCCCTGGAAACACAGCTGGGGAGTGAGTGGGTCTCCTCCGTCCCCCAGGCCTGCTCCCTAGGTTCCTAAGTTCTCCCTGTCCCACCTTCTGGGTCTGCCATGAAATGAAGGAGGTAGCTGAATGTGTAAAGGTGACAGTACAGGCTTTCTTCACCTGGAGGACAGTGTTTGACAGGCAGGTGGAATTTAGGAAACCAGCTCTAAAGAAGAAGCTGGTGTGGGCTTTTCAAAGGACTGGAAGGAGTGAGAATGGGCAACCTACCAGACTAAGCGAGTCTCCTGCAGCCACATGCTGGGAAGACGGGAGAATGGCCCTCCCTCGGGAACCGCCTCATTTCACAGGGCTAGCCTACCAAGCCTACCAGACCCTGCGACCTCTCACACAAATGGATGACACCTGGGCGACTTCCTGTTCCCTCAGTCAGGTTCTCCCTTCTGCTTGCTATCTGTTGTCCCTTGTTCTAGTCTGCTCTGAGGAAGAGCCATTGAGCCTCATTGGGAAGGCCCTGAGGACCAGCAGCTTCTGAGCTGTGCAGGCTCCCCTGGTTCCTGAGGCCCCAGGGTCCCTTTTGTAGAATGATTTAGAGGTCACGTTAATGCAGATCACCCAGCTGGGTATAGAGAAGTTCTGGAGCTAATGTAAATGGAAATTTCAGAATCAAATTTAATAAACTTTTGCATTAAACATTAAAGGATTCCCTTTGTCACATAAAAATAAGAGTTAAAAAAAGGTACAGGAAGAGACAATGAGCATACTGGAGGAGGAGGGCCTGGAGGAGGAGGAGGAGAGGAAGGAGGGAGGAAGGATGACATTCCTCTCCCCGCATGCAGGGAGACCCTCTCGGCCTTCTGTCTGCCTTGGAGATGACCTGCCTTATCCCTCTCAGGTGACAGCAAAAATGCTGTCACAACAGCATCCTGACATCCCATCTGTGTTTACCATCGCCGGCTTTGAAGAACCTTTGTGTCAATTTGAAATTCAGAACAGGCTTTGGTGTTGTGTGCCATCTGCAAGCCCACAGGCCTGAGCCGGAGCTCTGAGCCCCGCCACTCAGCCCCGCTCTCCCCCAAAGAGCCATCCTCTCCCCACATTTACTATGGCTGGAAGGCCCAGTCGAGGCTTGTGCAGCTTCTGTCTTTATCAAAAGCTAGCAGGTACACTCCTCCTCGAGGACGCCAGCAGGGAGAAGGATGTCAGCAGCAGGCATCAAATTCACCCATCCTGCACTAAGCTTCTGTGGCTTGCCGCAGAAAGGCTGTCATGACTGGCAGGCTGTGAGGACTCACTGGTATCAGGAAGCCCACCTGTCCTGCTGGCCCGAGTCATCAGAGCGCAGGGAGGCGGCCCGTGTGTCCCATGCGATCTATGTCCACGGCTTAGGAATGCAGGCTGGACATTGGGCTTTACGGGGAGGCAGCCTGGGCTCAGATACCATGAGGCCGGCTGAGCAGCAGTGGATGGAACTGTGGACGGGCTGCGGCTGCTCCGGGTGGCCTCCTGGCTCGCTCAGGACCGGATACTGACAGAAAATGGGCTTTTCCCCTCATGGGTGGCTGGACCAAGAGAAGCCACACAGCAGCAGGTCATTCTCCATTTTGCCAGGAGGTGTGGGCAGCCCCTTCGTTCCTAGTTTACACAGCTTTTTATCAACTAGAATTTTCATGGGTTAGAAAAATCCAGCTTTTAGTCGCTTTGCAGAGAAAAAGCAAACTCCACACGGAAGGAAGGGTTTCTGTGCCCTCTGCTGGTCAACAGAGACTCAGGAACACGGACTCCGACTTGACTTAGGCTCTGGCTGGGCTGAAACCCTCTGGCGCCAACATTAGCAACGGCGCCAGCACCGCACCATGGAAGCGGAGTCACGTTCACCCAGCAGTGGCTGAAATGCCACGGATTGTCACAACATTGTGTGAGTCACTTCTGTCTCGATGAATCATGTGTTTGGTTAGTGGTGAATCCCACCGGGTCTGGTGAACCTTTTGAGGTCTTTCTAGAACTTGGGGCAACCGTCAGAGATGGGGGCTCTGGAGGCAAACCTGGCAACTCCCCTGTGCTCTCTTTAATTGCTTCTCCCCTCAGCTGACACTGTGCAGAACCAGGATAATCAATCTGCAGGTTAGAAGAACAACCCCATTCTCTCTGGAGACGGTGCAGCTCATAAAAAATGTACGGGGGACGCTCTTTGCTGCGGGTTTTGATTTTTTAACTCATGCCTTGCCATGGGCAGAGGGTGTCAAGCCAGGGAGGACAAAGATTTGTGCAGGGGAGATTGAGAGGGGGTAAAGGTGGCAAAGGGCTCCTGTCATCATCTTAGGACACGGTCAGATAACTCACTGGAAGTCCCTGCTTCAGAACTGGGAGGCCCCCACCTTGTGGAGGACAAGCCACATATATTCTAAAGGCCCCAAGCACACAGCTATCTCTAGGGGCCCAGCTCAGAGTGCTGCAGAGAGTGTGCTGTCACATGCTGTGGCTGTCTGCAGCAAAATGCCCTGGCCCTGCCACCTCCAGGCCCTGGAGATGATGCCCCTTCCTCATCTCACAGGCTTATCCCACCAAAAACAAAAGATCAAAGGAGACTGCGAGTTGTATTGTATTATCATAGACATCTTGGGTCCGGGGTGACTCTTTGCTGTGACAGCAACAATACCTATGTCTCTTTTGAGCTCATCTGTTCTGTATTCTGAAGCCTTGGTATAAATTCAACCACTTGGCTACTTAACTGGCGCTCCAATTTCTGTGCAAACATGTTATGATCTTAGTACCCCTTACACTGGGGAGAAGCCAAGGAGCACAGGAAGACACGTGCAGAGGCCCAGCTGAGTTCTGGTCAGTCTCCTGCTCTTCCTCCTAGGCTCCAATGCCAGTCGCCTAGGCCCTTGAGTGATCCTGGGAAGAAGGGCCAACCCCAGCGCGGCCAACATGACAGATGGGCGGGACCCTCGAGCTGTGCCACGTTGCCCAGCCCCAGGACCACAGTGGAGTTGCACCTGCTGGGCTGTGCCTAGACATGGGGTAAAACGTTTTCCTCTCTGAGTTCAGGGTCATGCTAGGTTCTAAGCCAATATCTGTGGCACGTGGACCACAGTGGAGTTGCACCTGCTGGGCTGTGCCTAGACATGGGGTAAAACGTTTTCCACTCCGAGTTCAGGGTCATGCTAGGTGCTAAGCCAATATCTGTGGCCGAAGGAATGAATACAAAGGAAAAGGGGAGAAAATACCTGGTTACGAGTGACCGAAGAGTCCTGAAGTTGTGTGATTTAAAACTGAGCTTCGCCCCCAAATATGCAATTACACTGAATATCATAAATGTGGAATTTGGAGATCCGGAGAGGATTTTAGAAGCTCCTGGGCGATACTTTTTATCTCCGTCTGTTCTATTTTCCTTTTCCTCTCTCCCGTCACGGATCAGAGGGGACCCTCTTTAAGTCTGCATTTATGCATTCATGTGTAGATTAGTCACCAGCACACGCACACATGCTCACACACACTCTTTAACCCAAGACTGAATGCAGCCCTCCTGGCACAGGAGGAAGTTGCTGGCAGAGGCACAAGAGGTAATGGCAGGATGAGGCGCTGAACACCTGCCAGGGACACTCCTCCACACGCTCCAGGCCTGAAATGTAACGCATATTTTATGAAACTAGTCTGAACCGTTACGTGACTGTGGCTACACTCAAGCTGGGCAGAGCAGTGCTAAGCCAGCAGATGTTTTTTCCTCATAATGACCAGGACCCTGTGACCATTCTTCGAAGTTTCTGTAACAGTGCAGGTAACAAAGGGCCATAAGGGCCCTCATGTACTGAGAACTAGTTAGGTGAAGGTGGCCTCTTGACCACTCCATCATGGGGACCCATGGGGGACAGGGATGAGATGGAGAAATGAGAAGGACTCCCAGGGGTGGCTCATGGGGACCAAGCTGGAGGTGGGATCTAGGGATGAACTAGCCACACAGAGATGCCTCATGGTGGCTGCAGAGAGTATGGCTTTCAAAGCAGGACCCACATCCAGGCACGGCCTGCGAGACTGGTCTAAATACTGCCCTAATGAAGAGCTTGAAAGTCAAGGCTTATGGTACAAATACCCCATTAGGAATTAACACGAAGCTCTGAGAAGCGTTTAGCATAACGCCTCAGCATAAGGAAAGAACTCGTGTGCTATAACCTGAAATCAGAGTCAACCTTATCTGGTTCGCATAGGCATATGGCTGCCTGGAAAGGCATCGATACATACAGTTCATTGGCATTTACTCATCTTCCTGGGGCTTCACAATGTGGGAGAGCCCCACTGCCATGCCTTTGCAAACAGAGTCTTCCAGTTCAAAATACTTTCTTTTCCTCTTATTCGTCTATCAGTATTCTGCGTGTTCTTCAAAGTCCAGCTTTTGATTCGTCTACTCTGGCTTACATTCATTCCCACCCCCACACCCCCTTAAAACACTTCCAAAATGGTTCTTAGAGTTTATACTCGTTTCTATTAATGATTTAATAGTTTCTTGTGTTTTTTTCCTCAAGGACCTACAAGGTTGTTGCAGGCGACGGTCGTGCGTCTTGACTTTCTGTCATCCCTCAGCAGACTCTCATGGGGCTTGATATGGCAGAGATGTGTAATAAATAACACTTGACTGATGGATGGGACTGATGAGGTCTCTAACTCCAAATAAGTAACATAGACTTCTCACATTAGCACCAGAGTGGGCAGTCCTTTGCCCACAGAATATACTCTTGTTAAACTTAAAATTTTTTTAAAAAAATTAATAAAGCCACTCTGAAAAAAAAAAATGCCATTGGATGATGGGAACTTACCTGCATGTAAAAGAAAACCTGCCAAGAAAACACTGAGATTTCCACCTTACCCGCTGAGAAGTCACCTGTTGGCTAAGATCACTAAATGGTCTTAGAAAAGTTATATTTTCTATAGGTCTCTGCTTCTACATCTAATACAATAAAACCCTAAATAAACTACAATTTTATTCCTTGTTTTAAATGGCCATGGGCCCTTTCCCTTTTCCTGAACTCATTTCCCTTCCTCTCTCAATGAACTTCACATCCTGAAAGGTTTTTTTCCTTCTCCTGAACAGTGACTATTAACGAGTACATTTTCCCTCATCTTGATCAGTCACAGACCAATAGAAACAATCAGATGTTGTACTGGCATCAGGTGACCAGAGTAATCACCTCTAGAAGTTACAGAATGCCCCCAAAGACAAAAGCATTTTTTAATTAGCTTTTATAGTTATGTCTGCAGTTATTGGATGATATTTACTCTTGCTTTTTTGAAAATTTGAAATGAGGCCACGAACCTCTTTTCTTCTGATTGGCCTGTCAAGTATTTAGGAACCAGACTTGGGAAGTTCTGAAGGAGAGGGTCTCTGAGCTATGTCTCACTGAAGCTCCATGGCTTTATGGTTTTAGTTAGTGGATGGTGTTAGCAAAGCTGCACATAAAGTTTGTTCTTCTTCATTTCAACCTTTGCCATATTAGCTGGAATTTGAATTTGAACCATAATATTTTACCAAAAAAGGGAGGTAGAAAGAGAGACTGATTATGCAAATTTCTTCATACACATTCTGCACACAGCTCAAACATTTGAGAGATTTACCTGAGGTTTTCTGAACTGAATTCAGACTCCAGGAATCGTAGGAACTGGTCCCGCCCCACCTGGTCCTTCAACATCTCGTCAAAAGAGAAGCCCCATCTCTTTACTCGTTGCTGGCTGGGCTCTTTGCTTTGGGGTGACAAAGGTTTAAAAAAATGATCAATACTCGGCAAAAACCTGTGGCATATTCTTTCCAGCAACTCAAATCTATTTTGCTGCCACACACTAAAGGAAAATGTTGCAAATTTAAATGACAGATTCTATAAAACCTGTATAAACTCTAAATGCACACTTCTGTACATCGACATCAGCCAACAGTAAAACGTCTCTTTAAGAAAGGCATGTAAGTGAGGGTCACCAGGATGTGTGCTAAGTGACCCCCTTTCTATAGGAAATATGACAACCTCATAGATTTGGCTTCCCTGGATATTCCTGTCAGTTAAAGGCCTAACTCTTAACCACATCATTTTTCACTTTTCTTTTTTCTTTCTTTTTTCATAACTGAGGATGCTTTAATACAACTTTTCAGTAGAGACGTTGTCCCCACGTCCCACACTTCCTTCAATCTATGAGGGAAAAACAGAGTCCTATTTTGATCCAAGTGACGTACAACTGGAAAGAAATGATCGGCTCTTCCAGGATAAAACGTATTTGGTTGTTTAGAAGCAGAATGTTGCATTCATTTGTCGATTGAACAACCACTTGCACAGTGTTTATGATGTTCTAGGCATTGTTCCAGGCGTTTTATGTTTGTTAACTCACTGAGTCCTCACGACTACTCTGTAAAACATGTACTAGCATTATCCCCATTTGGCAGATAGGGAAATTGAGGCTGGGTGATAATTTGCCCAAGGACACACTAGGAAGTGAGGGAGTCAGAACTCGAGTCCTGACAGCGTGGCTCCAGAGTGCAGCTCTTAACTCTGCTGTGCTGTGTCACATCCATGTGGCCCTTCTCGGACCAAAGCCAGTGGGGTGGGGATGGGGGTGGGTGGGTTGGTCTTACTCTTTTGGTGTTGGAGGATGCAACTATCTCCTTCAGCTTCTGTCTTTCCATTTATAGTTCACTTGCTGTATTTATTCCCCTGACCCTTCAAGCAGCAGTAGAGTCCTAGTTCATAAGTCACATGCTGTAATCTCCCGCTCAAGGAGTGGTCTGTGGGCCTGCAGGAGAATATCAGGGCCCACCTCAGACATGTGGAATCAGAATCCACAGTTTAATAAGCTCTCTGGGTGATTTAAGTGCACATTAAACTCTGAGAAGCACTGGTCTGATAATACTTATTTCTCTTTTTAAAAATAGACACATACTTTTTATTATCTCTAACAAATATTAAGTAAATAAAATCATGTTTCCTTGTGTTGACAGATGGAGTCGACATATTCTCAATATTTATCTCAGAAAATTACACTTAGTAAAAAGGGAGAGAAAGCATGTGTGTTGAAAGGTTTGGAAAAACAGATAGCTCTAGATCAGTGCTGGTCAATAGAACTTTCTGTGATGACAGAAATATTCTACGTCTGTGTTCACATGTGGCTTCTGAGAACTTGAAATGTGGATAGTGGGACCAAGAAACTGAATTTTAAATTTTATTTAATTTTTTAATAGTTAAAGTTTAATTTAAGTGGTTAGTGGCTGCTCTCGTGGAAAGCATGGCTCTGGACTTAAGCGATTCGAACCCGACCCTTCTAGTTCTGCACCGCTAGACGTAACCACCACCAGCAGCAGGATCTTCTAATTCCAAGAGTGTGTGATTGGGCTTGGGAGGCTCCTGTGCACACTCTGCATCTCTACGCTTAGTCCAGTGGAGTCACAGCAGAAAACTAAGTCCACTGGGTGAAACAGGGGGAATCCATGAAAGATGTCTTCCAAATCGCCAGGCTGGGCCTCTTCCAACAAGCCAAAAAAGACGGATCCCGGATTCTCTCAACCTGAAGCCACAGAACCAATCAACCTCAATAGATTTCCTGGAGACAAAAAATGCTGTTTATAAAGAAATCCCCCTTGGGTTGAGGCTAGCAGCAAATATGAGTCCCAGAGAGCTGCAGGATATCGTCTCTTTCTGCCAAGGTCATGCTCGGACCTGGGATGGGCTCAACTATCTGCTCTTTGCCAGCCAAGTTTGCAGAGTTCTGCAGGGATGGCGCTGGTGGAAGCTGCACCCTGGTCACAGGCTGTGCCCAGAGAGCCAGATGTAGAAAGTCTCTCGGGCTTTGCAGTGATTGCCTCAGGCGAGCACACCCACTACCAACGCCCTCACTTTCTGGTGCTCAAGCTGGGAGTCCACATCACTCCCCCAGGTTCATTGGTGGTGGCAGCACTGGGAGAAAGGTCATTCCTGGGGTGGACCAGAAAGCTTGGGGTGCCATATTAGGTACAGAATCAGAGGCCTAGGGCAGAGGACAGAATATTCAGAAAGCTGCAAGCTCAGCCTTCAGCAGAAACAAGGTGGTCTAGAGAAAAAGGGTCCTTTGATTTGGGAGTTTCCTAGGGTGGCCATCACCGAGCATCAACACACCGGGCGACTTAAAATAGTAAAAATGTATGATCTCAGAGTTCTGGAGGATAAGAGTCTGAAATCAAAGTTTTGGCAGGTCCATGCTCTCTCTGAAGACTCTAGGGGGAGAATCTGTTCCACGTCTCTCTCTTAGCTTCCGGTGTTCCCAGCAATACGTGGCATTCCTTGGCTTGCACACGTGTCTCTCCAGTCTCTGCCTCCATCATCACATGGTCTTCTCCCTGAGTGCCCGAGTCTCTGTTTTCTCTTATAAAGACATCAGTCAAATCAGATCAGAGCCCACTCTTCTCCGGTATGACCTCATCTTGACTGATTGCATCTACCACAGACCTCAGTCATTACTTGACATTGGTGTCCCTTCTTCAGAAAGGACTCTGGCTGCTCACTCTACAGTGACCACTCTATTTCCAAGTAAAGTCTCATTCTGAGATTCTGGGAAAGACATGAGTTTTTGGGTGACACTATTCAACCTAGAACATCTGGGGTCCTTTGAATATCCATTATTCATAATCAATCCTATTTCTATACTTGGATGCTCCACCTCTGCTCCCTTTTTTCTGGTACTTTTGCCCATTGGGATCTATTCTATTAACAGCTTTTCAGAAAAAACTTCCCTATACATGCATTCCCTGTATTACCTGGGTATTTCCAAATATCACCCCCTTTAAGGTTCAAGATCAGATTTAAACATGTTGCTACCACTAAATGGTCTCTGTGGTTATAAAATCATTCTGAAAATTAAAATATCTCTGAACATTCACTCCAGGTGACTGGAATAATAACTCTTCCTTGGCCCAACTCAAACGAATAATTCACAGAACTCACAGCCTCTTTCATTTCCATCCACTGTGCAGAAACGCTTCCCTATGACATGTTTTTCTATTACAGCTCTGTATCATTGTCTCTCCAGCTAGCACGTGAGTTCTCTGAGAGTGGAGACCATGTCTCATATACCTTTGTATTCGCCACAGTGCGTTTCACACAGCAAGTTCAACACTAAGAGGAAATCAATAAGAAAGTGTGTACAGTGATGTGGGTGGTGTGTCCTTATCCTGACAGCATTTTCTAATTGCCAGATGGATGCCTTTTTCTGACTCTTGTTTGTCTTCCGTGCCTGAGCTCACCGAATTCCTGACTCTCACTGGGCAGCCCAATCCAACACATAGCAAAGACAAGTGACCCTCCAAATGAGTCAACTTTTCATTTCAGCTGATCTCCCAACTCAGAAGACAGCACATAGTAGGTTCTTCATACATAGTTATTGAATTTAACTGAAACTTAGAAAAAAACGACTTATTTTGCAGGTCATCTTCAGTCTTTGTTCCATGGACAGGAACCACCTCTAGGCTGAAGTGGGATGTTGGCATTGATCCCAGATTCTGTGCTTCTCCAAAAACAGGTTCCTAACCACTGCCAGCATCTGAGTGGGTGAGAATGTCCAGCTGAGAGAAGAAACAGGCTCCCACAGCTTCTCTTCATTTTCACTTGTATCTAAACGACTTGATTCTGCTTCAAGGTGGACAGAACACTGCAGGCGGTAGGTTAGGCATTATGATTAGAGTAGAAGTCCAAACAATATGAGCAGAACCAGAGCCCTAGTTGTAGGGGTCGGTAGCACCCCACTGGGGATAAAGTGTTGATAGGCTTGGATAAACCAAGAGGTCAGGTGACCACCATTTTCCCAAACTACCACATGCCTTTTTGTCAACTTTCAAGAAAAAAGAAGGAAATCCCAGTGTTACGTGGTGAATTAAATTCATGTACTTACCTCTCCTCTTTTCCCAAATACCAATAAAATGATTAAAGAAATAGTCGTTTCTCCATCTATCCTCCACCTAACCCACACTTTTTGAATGCCTACTCTGTACCAGACATGGGTCTAGGTACTAAAATAATTTGAAGACCTATTTAGAAATTCAACTGGGTGCGGGTGGGGGAGGATGTGATATTGAATGATTGGAAGGTGAGGTGGCCACGCTAGATGGAGTGGTCACAGAAGACCTTTCTGAGGAAGGGACTCCAATGCTGAGTGATACTTGAATGAGAAAAGAAGCCCACCATGTGAGGGTCTGGGGAAGTGGTCCAGGAATAGCAGACAGGCAAGCGTCTGGAGTTCAGTGAAATAATAATTTAAAAAACACCAAACCAAACCAAATCAAACCAAGCCAAAAACAACACTGTATGTAAAGGCAAAGAAATTTCCTATTAGCAGATGCCAAACCAAACCAAACCAAACCAAACCAAACCAAAAACAACATTGTATGTAGAGGAAAAGAAATTTCCTATTAGCAGATGCTAGACTTTGAGAAATTTTGGGAAGGTATGAAGCAGATGAACAGAACTGGTGACAACTGATTGAGAGCTGTGTATGATTTCAGTGGGTCCATCTGAGATGGAAGTAGCTGGATGTCCCTAACAGAGGCCTGGGAGATCCCCGTGCTCCTAGCAGCAGGACTGGAAGGCGAGGCTATTGGTGGGCATTGGACGGGGAGCATATGGAAGAAACTCAGAAATGAGGAACACAGTGTCTGCGTGGCAGGGAGGGTCTCCTAAGTAAAGGGGTAGTGTTTTCTGGCCAGCTTCTAATATAGGCAATAAGACCAGAGGGCAGTGCCTCAGTAACCTAGGGGAGGAACAGCAAATATAGAAGGGAAAAACATCTTGGCAAAGCAGGAAGACCTTGAAATACATTCTGGCTTTTTCCTGCTCGTTGGTTTCTGCAGATCTAACCAGGTTCCCCTAAGATCTTTCGGCAGAAGAAAGAAGAGTAGACTTATTGGGGAGCACCATGGAGAGGAAACTGAGGAACTTCAGAAACCCCATCAGGGCCTGAAAGCACAGCACCTGGCCGCAGAAAGGTCATTAAGGGAAGGGGGCTCTACCACCCATGGACCCCTGGAGCCACCAGCCCCACTCTGAGAGAGGACCCAGTCTTTTCGTCTGTTCTTGGACCACATAACCGAGATCCAGATGGGAACTTCGCTGATTTACCTGGCCCTACAGCCACATGAACTGCTAAGAGGAGAGCCTGCTGGCGGGTGGGATGTCGGGGAGGGGGGTTTTGCGGGGGGCTGGGGGAAAAGATTCTGTGAACCAAACTAGGAATTTTCAAACTCTGCTTTGCCTTAGAATGACTAGAATGCTTGCTCAAAATACAGATACCCAGAACCACCCCAGAGTATCTGTATTCTTAATGAGCATCTTAGATGATCCTGATGCATCCTGTGTTTTCAGAACCAGTAACCCACACAGTTGCTGAGGAAGCTCTCACCAGCTACTGATATAGACCATTTAGACCAGGGCTGTGCATTAGAATCATCTGTGAAGATTTCAAAAAAAACAAACAAAAAACTCTAAACACCCATACCCCACCCCCCAAAGAAACAAAACAATGCCTCACTGCCAGAAATTCTGATTTAATTGGACTGGGGAGGGGACTGGGCATTCATAATTTTTATCAATGTTCCAGGTGATTCTAACATATGGGCAAGGTTGAAAGCTAAGATCTTCATTTGTGAAAACCAGTGGTTCCCCAAATTGCGGGGTATACAAAATGATTTGCTCTGAACAGTGATTGGAGTAATGGAATAATGACTAGAAACAACAATTCTCTGATCAATGATGTCCTGTGAAACAAACTAAGTGGCAGAAATAGCGGAGAAATGTGAAAAAAAAATCTGTATCTTACTCTCAGGAGGATTCAAGAGGATAAACATCAACAGAACAGAGCAGGCTACCAAGAAAAAGGAATCCAAGAAATATTAAGAATTCCTAGGAGTGAAAAGCATGATTGTCAACCACTCCTCCCAACACTCAGTAGGAAAAGAAAAACTCATTAAAGTATAAAATCACAGAATGGAAACCACTGAAAACCAAACTGGTGACTCTGAAGAGTAATCCAAGGAATTCTATCCTTGAATAGAGAATAAAACGGCTAATAGGAAAGAGAAAAGTGATGTGGTTGCTCCATCCCAGAATTCCTACAAAAGGATTTCCTGAAAAGAGAGGACAGAATGGAAAAAAGAGTAGCAGTAATTTAAAAAAAAAAAAAGGAAGTAAAACATACCGAGTTAAAGAAAAATTTAAGTTCTTGGATCAGATTAGAGGGGATGATGTAGGGCATGTTTATTTATTTATTAAAATGCCAGGTCCAAAGAACTTAATATATTTTTACGTCCTAACAACTTAGTTACTATCTGAAATAGATACAAATGGGAAGAATAGTGAATATGTTTACGGCATTCTTAAGCACATGCGCACTGTTGAGCGCCACACATCTCAAACTGGAATCAGATTGGACTCTGCCACCCTCATTTCCTATCCCGTGTTGATTTCTATACAGCACTTCACAGTAACTGCCCCGAAAAACCTCAGCTTTGCCACCGGAGGGAATGGAATGACGCCACCGGAGGGAATGGAAAATGACCGAATGTTGAAATCAGAGAACTATCCTAATTAGCAGTTTATGCAGTATCTGAAATATGTCACACATCACTGTGTTTCCCTCGAAGATTTAGAATGTCCCGTGGTAACCCTGTGAGGTCCCTGACGATGGCTCGGGCTGCCTTGGTGAGTTTTGGGAACCATGGCATTAGACTATAAACACAGGTTCTTTCTGGAAAATGAGATTGGGTTGGACGAAGAAAATTTTCTTTATTAAGCATGTCTAATTAGTTTGGACATTTTAATAATAAGCACCTCTGACTTTTATTACTCTTTATAAAGTTTTTCCATTTCAAGAAAAGAAGCCAGAAAAAGAATTAGCATGAAAGGGAATGAAAGAGATTTAAAGAAATGAGAAATGAAATAGAAAGTCTTCTAGCAGAGGGGCCGAGGTACACGGGCCCAGCACCCCAAATTTGTCTGTGCGTTTCCTTCCATCATGTGTAAATGTGGCCCATGTCCATCTGTGCTCCGGCTCCTCACCTATTAAGGAAACACACTAACTTCTCTCACACGTCAGGAGCCTCTGGATGGAACTCCCACTGCTAGTTACTCAGGAGAGCAGAATATTGAACACCATAGCTCTGGAACTCTCTCTGCCTGGCTTCCAGTCCTAACTCTGGCAGCTACTCGCCGTGTGATCTCAAGCAAGTTCATTAACTCCTCTGTGCCTCAATTTCATCATCTTTCAATAGTGAGAATAATAATGTTTACCTGTTGTGGGGGTTCCAGAGTGGTCCCCGACCTTTTTGGCACCAGGGTCTGGTGCTTCTATGAGAATCTAATGCATGATGATCTGACGTGGAGCTGAGGCAGTGATGCTAGTGCTGGGGAGCAGCTACAAAGAAGTTTCACTCCTTTGCCCGCTGCTCACCACCTGCTGTGCGGCCCGGTTCCTAACAGGCCGTGAATACATACCAGTCCACAGCCCAGGGGTTGGAGATCCCTGATGTAAGACACTTACTATATGGCTAGTCCTGAGTACATGCTGGCTATTATTGCTGCTGCTGAATAATATATTTTTTAAAAAATTGGCCTACAGATTCTTTCCCCTCCAGCAATCAGAACTAGGAAATGTGAGGGACTATCCCTGTTTATCATGACATCCATGGGGTCAGAAAGAGGCCAGAGGGAAGCCACAAAGGATCCCTGTACGAATCAAAGCTATGAGGAGGTAGACACCACCTTTAAGCAGAACTCAGTGGGGAAGTGACTTGAGGAGGTTCTGTTCTGGTCATCAAGTCAAATTAAGATAGGGGATAATGTAATGTCACAATCTCACAAATGTTTTCCACATCTCTCCCACTCCCAAACATGAAAACTTTTTTTTTTTTTTATTTACCTTATTTCTATGTCCCATAAAGAGATATCGTCACTGATCCAGGGATTGGATGGCTCGGCTGGCGTTATCAAAGGATCGTATTCCACATACTGTTCTGTGTAAGCGATTAAGCTGTAGAAAGAGCAAAGAAGAGCAAAGAATGCCACTGATTTCCCATGAAAAATTTTTATTCTGTTTCACATAAACATGATATCAATCTTAACATAATTCTAAACTAAAGGGAAAAAATGACCACCACTCCCACTTCCAACAAATTGAACTGTTTTCATCTGCCCTTGTTCCCTTCTCATTGTGGACACATGGCCTTGCGTTTCTGCAATCACAGTCTTCAGATGGACTTTACATCTTCCCCTCTTAATTTTTTTTTTGAACCTTGGGGCATCCCTCCCTGGTTACGGTAGCCTTACTGATACGCTGGTCTAAAACTGCTTTTGTATAACCCTTTAGACTACATATACTACAGATCCCAAGGCGTCTGGGACACACGGGATGCTACAGTTCCTCCAGGCTGCCAGCCCAGCATTCCCAGCTGGAAGACTCACTTATTGTAAAGACTTAAATCCTGGCAAAGCATAGGAGTTCATATAAGCATTTTTCCAAAAAGCAACTTCATTTTTCTAGTTATAATTTAAATAGCCATATAATCTTTTTAAGTACAAATTTTATTTTTATCAAAATGCATGCAGTTAAAACAATAAAATAGCATTAAATGATTTCACATACAAAAACAGCAATAGCAATGACTTTTTTCCCCTCCTATTCCTCCCCACAGAGGCATTCACTATCTACCCTTCTGTTTCTTTTAGCATTTACCTGTATATTTCTACATTAAATATTTTTATAGTTGCTCTTGATTTATCAATTTTAGATGAGAATTTAACTTTCTACTTACCAATCCCCAACTCCCCATACCATTTACTCCCAGGATCTTCCAAATAGATTTATATATCAATTTTTGTTAAATCAATAGTCAGTGTCCACAATACTGAACTAGATAAAAATTATTTGCTGCTGACCTAAGGAGCATATTACTTTTTTCAAGTGTTCTAACAAATCTGTAAAACATCTAGCAATAATTTTTCCATATCTTAAATACATCAGATAATCAATCAGTTCTGTCTCCCTGTTTCCTGGAGGCCTTCTTTGTCAAGAGGACAAAGTTTTGAGTCCTCTTGTTCCAATCTGGACTGTTTGCTCTATAGGCTTGATGCAAAAATCATCATCCTGGGACTTCCTTCACATATGTGTTGAAGCCCATGTTTCCTGGATTCCATGTCTGTCTATTGGTTTTACTCCTTGGTTGTGTTGAAGCACATCCTTTAGTAATTTCCTAAGAAAGGAAACTTACTGCTACATATTTTGAGTCCTTGCAGGTCTAAAAATGTTTCTACTTTATACTTGAGTGATAGTGCTGGATATGGAACCCTAGGATAAAAATAAGTTTCTTTCAGTATTTTGAAGGTTTTGCTCAACGTTTTTTTTTTTTTTTTTTTTTTTTGCATTCAGTGTTACTATTGAGAAGTCTGGATTCATTTTGATTCTAAATAGTTTCTTTTCTCTCTGGAAACTTAGAATCTTCTCTCTATTGCTATAGTTCTCTGAAATTTCACCATGGCCCTTACTGATTGTTTTTATTCTCTGTGCTGAGTACAAGTGAAATAGGCAAAAAAAATATTTCCCAGGAATATTACATTATTTCTTTGCTAATGCCATACCCTTCATTTTTCTTTCTATAATTCTTTTTTAGTTAAATATTGGACATCCCAAATTAATAATTTTCCTAAATTTTCACTCCAATTTTTCTTCTTTTTGTCTTTTTGACAGTTTTTCCAGCCTGCTCTATTTTTTTTTTAAATGTGGCTCTCATTTTCTTAAGTTTCCAGAGTTCACTCTTATTTATCATAGTATTTAGTTCTTTTTTTGCGGATGAAATATCTTCTCATATCTCTGAAGATATTAATCCTATATTTTTATTTTCAGTTTCTTCTGTTTCTTGAATAGTTTTTTGGTTCCTTCAAGTTTCTTTCTCTGTTTATTTGTTTTGATCACATTCCTTCACATTGGGTTTTCCCTTGAGTGTCTGGAAAATCTCTAGACATCCATTTGTGCTAAAGAGTGATGTACTAAAACCTTCTTGGAGGCTCAATGTGTGCATGGACAGGACCTGCCAACTGAAGGGCTTCATTGTTGGGTTATTGGACAGCTTGCCGGTCTTTTCACTAGATCTCCAAATGAGGAATCTGGAGTCTTTCCTCTGGAGACATTTATTTTTATCTAGATCAGGAGTAGGCAAACTTTTCCTGCAAAACCCAGAGAGTAACCACGTTAGGCTTTGTAGGCCAGATGGCTTCTGTTGCAACTACTCAGCTCTTCTGCTTTAGCACAAAAGCAGCTGTAGACAATTCTTTTTTTTTTTTTTTTTTACTTTTTAATTTTTATTATGCACAACATAATACATTGCATGGTATGCAATGCACTGCATAACTTTCTAGCAAGGGTAAATAAGGCTGAGTTTTTTTTCATCAATCAGGAAAATCCATCTTTAATCAATGTTCTCCAATCCTCTGACACACGGTGATGACTAACTCTCGCACCTGTCTCTTTCCATCAAAGCCCACTGATATGAATAATAGGCAACCTTCTTTCTCTTGCCCCTCTTAGCGAACTTGCGGATGCGTGCAGTGGCCACTCTGGGGATGAGTAAGCACACTCCCAGGATGGCATCTAGGGGAGAACCACGAACCACATCGTGTCAGGTTACCAAGCAGCAATTCTTAAATGAACGCATGTGGTTGTTCCAATAAAACTTTATTTCCAAAAACAGGAAGTAGAGTGAATTTGGCCCAGAGGTTGTTGTTTGCCAGTCTCTTGCCTATGGGCATACACATTTGGCTCCTGCAGGGCTGTGAGCAGGACAGGGGAGAGTCCCACAGTTCAGTGTGTTGACCTTTTATTAATGCTCTTGTTTTCGGCTGGCCCTTTATGATGTGTTGTGCCTGAGTTCTGAGCTGATGTGGCTCGATTTCTCTGGAGAATAAACTGCCTATCCTCTGTGGTGGTAGTAATTGGGGAGAGACAGTCCCTAGTGGGGCAGGGAGGCTCCAGAGACAAACTTTACCCATCCTGGTGGGGTTAGCCCCAAACCGCGTTCCTGCCTTCCATTGTCCCTGGTGCCTTTAAGAGCCAAGACCAGATTTTGTTGGGTAAACTGGCTCACTCATTATAATACTCACACCCCTAAAATGTAGGTTTTGATGGTCTTCACTCTGTTCCCATCCATTTTTTAAAATTAAATTTTGAAGTATTTCAGGCATACTTCAAAGGTATAAAAATAAAAAAGATTAAAAAAAGGTATAAAAATAAGACTATCACCCTTGAACTCAACACCCAATTAAAAAAATTAAACATTACAAATAGAGATGGGGGCCTGTGGTTATACTCCCCAATTCCTTAGACTTTATATCTTTGACACATTTGTTGAAACCATTAATTCATTAATTTGTTGACCTTGTGAGTTCATACCATTTTTATTCCTTTTCTGATATCTTGATTTTGGGGAGGGAGAGAAGATAAACATATGTTCACAATACTGTGTTGAGTGAATTTTTATAATTTACATAATCATTTCCTCTATGTTAGACACAAACTTTTAATTCTTTAGTATACATAGTACTATAGAACACTATTGTTCACATTGGATTTTCCATCTTTTGGGTTATTTATTTAGAATTAACATTCATAACTAGAATCACGTGGGGCCAAAAGGTATGGAAATTTTTTGGCTATTGATCCACTTAGAGAAAATACAAAGCTTTCCCCTAAGCATTGCCAGCTTTCGTGTCATATTCTTTCTGCAATGGCAAATTCAGAGCCACAGTTCTTACTATTGAATTGCAAAGGGCAAGCATGACCCATTCGCTTACTGCTGAAAATGTGAAGAAATTAGCCAGTCGTTCCATCTCACTGCTACTCAGAGTGTGGTCCACAAACCAGCAGCAGAGCTATCACCTGGGAGCTTGTTAGAAATGCAGAATCTTAGGCCCCACCCCGGACTTACTGAGTCAGAAGCTGACTCCAGCTATTCTTGAGCTTAGTGGCATCTCTGTGCTTCCCAGAGTTCAACTCTGCAGCCCCTCCTTATACTCTGTGAGCCAATATATGCTCCTTTTAGCTGAATCGAGTTCCAGTTGGGGTTCCATTGCTCAGAACCAAACTAATACAGCAGAAACAGCGGTGAAGGTGATGGGAATGTGAAGTCAGGTTCATTGAGGTAGCCCTCTGGAGCACTGGCCAGAGAGGTTTCCTCTTTCCAGAGCATGCACTTCCTTGCAGTGCACACACAAGATGAACAGGCTGCTAGGGACACACGAAGATGATAAAAAGGCCAGGCAGGCGATGGGGGAGGTAGCGATGGTCGATACAAAGTACCATTTGAGTCCAAAGTCAATATCAATAACGACAGAAAGGCGAAGTAGGATAGGAAAAACACAAAAGAGAGACATGGAAAGAGCTTTATCGAGCATCTGGCACCCAACTGTCTGTGGGGCATTGCAACTTGAGTGCTAGTGTATGTCAAGGGTTCTACAGAGCTCTTTCCACAAAAGCAGAATTGGGAGGTGTTGCAGACTGAATTGTGTTCCCCCAAATTTCATATGTCGAAGCCCTAACCCTCAATGTGACTGTTTTCGGAGACAGGGTCGTTAAGGAGGTAATTAAGGTTAATTGAGGTTACAGGTGGGGACCTAATCTGATAGGACTGTCCCTATAAGAAGAGGAAAAGCCCAGAGCTCTCTCTCCTCCGTGTGAGCACAGAGGAAAGGCCGTGTGAGGACACAGGGGGAGGGCGGCCAGCTGCAAGCCAGGAAGAAGGTTGTCACCAGAAACCAGCCCTGCTGGCACCTTGATCATGAACTTGCAGCCTCCAGAACTGTGAGAAAGTAAACGTCTGTTGTTTAAGTCACCTAGTCTTTGGCATTTTGATATGGCGGCCCAGGCAGAATAATACAGGAGATGGAAAGAATAAACACAGAAAATCCAGAGGAAGTCCAGGAGGAACAATATTTCTCTTTAAGCATTTTTAACATCCCTGCCCCCTTACCTCTGCCTCCTTT